TCGCTTAATTCAATGAGAAGAAAGAGGTATACTAATAGTGTTTGGACAGGATATCCTGTCTGCTTCTTGTACTATGGATAACCACTAAGAAGATATGTACAATGTATTGATTATCAAAACTGTCTTATTAATCAGCTTTGAAAATGTCTCATTCATATCTGTTTTTCAATTAAAAAAAACCACTAAACTTCATGGGGGAAAGGAGCGCTAATCTGGCCCTGGGGGAAGGAGCTGGCTGCTCCTTCAAGGACACACAGACCCGCTGGTGGGGCTGCTGAGGGAGGCCTGCTGTCTTGTCCCGCCTCAAGGTCCCACCTCCCCACCCTTTGCCCCTGCATGGAGCGCATGGGTTAGAAGAGTCTATGAAAGATCCAAATAATTCTTGGGAAGTTAAACCTTGGTTATAGTTCATAGCCCAAGATACACTTTCAGGGGCTGGAGAGATGGCTCAGTGGTCTAAAGCACCTACTTGAAACAAGCTTGGCAAAGCACCAGGGACCGCGGTTCAATCCTCCAGCACCACATGCCGGCCAGCCACGCCCCCTGGTGGGCTGAGCTGGCCACACACACACACACACACACACACACACACACACACACAATAAATAAATGTAATAAATAAAAATAAATTAAAAAAAAAAAAAAGATACACTTTCAACACTGTGGCCAGATACATTTTGTACACTGAAACCTAAGGGAAAGGTCTGTCACCTGCTTATATGACAGCCTCGGCAGAAGCAGTGTAGCACTCTGGCCATCAGCACCCAGGGTGGGTACAGAGGCCTTTTCACTGCCAAAGGGACCTGGGTGAATCTCAGGAAACACCCAAGTCCAGAGCTTTCTGGCAGAACCGTGGTCATGATGAGCTGGTGAGTCGTGCATGGAACCCACCACGTCACCGAATGCTGGGACCACTGCTGAACTAAGCAATAAGCAAGCAGCTTCCTCTCCGCCCCAGGCTTCCAGCAAATTGCTAACCTCCTCTGTGGCTCTGGGCAGAGGTTCTAGACCCTTCCCGGCAGGGCTACTTAACTTCTGCATCCCAGCTAGCAGCAAGGCCTTCCTGCCTCTCTTGGCTGCAAAGCTGCATGTCCTAAGGGGCTGCAGTTCTGCACAGGTACAGTGGGGACTCAGGAGAGCAGAGGCTGAGGCTTCTCCGGAGTCAACGGATGGGGCCCAAGAAGCCACAATCCTTGCTACTGCCCCTGATGCAGTCGGTCCCTTCAGAACACCCTGCCTGATGCAGCTCCTGTCCATCTGCTGTGGCGCTCAGCCCTGGTCAGGTCACCATGGCCGCATCTCCTCGGCTAAGGGCTGTGCTGCTGGGCTCATCATGCACTGGGCCCCAGGCAGAACAGTCTGAATGTTCAGTTCCATCCAGTACACTCAGACCAACCTTCCTTGGTGGGAGCTGCAGAAGCCAACACGAAGGCCCATTTTGTCGCGGAAGCAGTCCCCCGGGGAACCACATTATTCCAGTAAGTGCCTGGAGAGAGTGAAGAGGGTGGGGGAAGGGATGACATCAGTGAAAACACCAGTTTTGCTCTAGCCCGCAGCTGGCCTTGGGAACCTTTCACAGCTGTCCAGTGTCCCCCCCTTTTTTTTTTTTTTTTTTGGTGGAACCAGGGATTGAACTGGGGATTGCCCTTGTGCTTGCCAGGGAAGCACTTATTCCACTGAGCCATCTCCTTAGCCTGTCCAGTGTCCCTTGGCTAGCACTATGAGCCAGCGTAGCCCGCCACCCGCAGCTGCAGGCCGTGAGTAGTGGCCAGAGGACGCAAGAGACAGGGAACTCAGAACCCAGGCTTCCCTCACAGAATGCGCCCCAGCTCCTTCTCAGCTGGCCAGGCCTTATCGTACAGTGGCCAGGACTCCCCTCCAGCAATGAACTCTTCTTTCGCCCAGGTTCTGTGGGGCTGGAGCTCACTTCTATGTGAGATTTACTATAGGTGTGCTCCACTTGCTTTCTTCTAGTGTAACCGGAGCGTATAGGAAGCTCCTGTGCTGGATCCGTGAAGCCTCAGGAATGGTGGTGCAAAAGGAGAAGGGACAAAGAAGACAGCATGGCGCCCCCCACAGCACCCGGCCCACCAGTACTATGTGAGCTTTCCAGCCCAGATGGTGAAACCTTTCCTTTAAATGTTGCACGAGGCCCTGGGCTTGATCCCACATGTTGCAAAACCTAAAATAAAATAATGAGGTGCAGCTGTCCAAAAAGCACAGTGAAGAAAAAACCCTTCGCCGACCTATGAGGCTTCCCTTGGCAACGTGGAACTCATTCTTGCCCGAGGAGATCCAGACGCCGCTGCTGTTGACCCCCAGCAGACTGGGCTGGCACTGAAGCTGCTGGGACCAGAATGCTGTGCGCAGCTTGTCTGCCACCTTCTCCACGGGTGCTTGAGCTACGGTGGCCACTGAGTGCGTGGCGTGGATGATGGTCTGGAATAGGCTGCACTGGTCAAACACCACGTAGTCTGTGATGCTCACCTGCAGAGTGTAGAGGAGTGGAGGCCACAGTCAGAACAGGGGAGAAGGCGCCGTCATGTCCTGTACGGCCCTGAAGGGCAGGGCCCACAGCACTGCGATGTACCGGCTGAGTGGCAGGAGACCGTAGGACCCACGGGGCCGGCACCATCACTCCCAGGAAATGTTCCTGTCTTTCTTGTGTACTTCATGCTACATGTGTGGGTAACTGGGCACGTGTAATTTCCGTGACTAAAAAGCACCCAGCCTCCTCACAGACACCTTCTACCCTAACCTTTCTCATGGGGGCCTTGAACTTGCATTGATCCTGCCTCCAGCCTCCCGAGGGCTGGAACTTCAGGTGTGCATTTTAAGGCCTTTCAAGCACACCACAGAGATGGGGAAACTTGAATTTTGGGTTGGACTGGCAAACCCAGTCTGTCGAGTCTCTTCTCAGCACACTGTTTAGAACACATCATCGCTATTATCCTGGTCTCCCAGCAAATGACACTGGGTCTATCTAGCTTGCAATGTACGGGTCTAAATGCCACCAAAGGAAACACGGAGCCAGTCTTCACAATTTAAGCAAAGAAGTCTTTGCAAGTTCTTTGCTGTGAAAAGTCCTTAGTGTTTTCAATGGAGCCAGACCCAGGAAGTCTAACCTCACAGAAGCCCAGGAGGATAGCAACCCGCAGCAGAGCCAGTGCTACCTGCCACCAGTGACCGTCATCCCCTTGGGGCTTCTTGGCCGCCACACCGGTCCTGAACCACAGCTTCCCACGGACGTCCAGTGCCCAGAGAGTGTGCTGGTCCCCGAGAGTGATACAGACAGGTTCTAGTGCTTGCTTTTCACTGAAAAAAGCAAGAAAGCAGAGTCAGCCCCACAGTGTCACCAGGTGCGACTCAAGACTGGGTTGGCAAAGGCCAAGGAGGAGGTGTGGCTCTGTCATATGGCCAGGTGGGGTAGGAGATCCCGGTGTGTGAGGCACGGTGGAGGCTCCTGACAAGGGAGGGGCGCTGAACGTGTCCAGGCCCATGAGCATGCCCACCTCTTCCCTGGTCTTCCCCCAAGAAGTAGCTGCAAACTCCCTACAAGTAGGATGCACATGCACCCATCCCTGGCAGGCACTGCCCCGCAGCCTGCTGCCCTGGCCAGCCTGGAGGCTCTGTGTGGCTCTGAAGGCAGGCTACCTCTACGCTTACCATGCTGCCAGCAGGGAGGGCCACCGCCAGTAAGGGCCTACAAGCTGGGCGGAGTCTCGGCACCTGAAGCCTGACCCTAGCCAACCCCAGATCACAGCAGTCTCCTTGGATGCCCCCTGGCTGCTACATTCAAACCAGAGCCTTCACACTGAGCTACATTCCCAGCCCTTTTAATTTTGATACAGAGTCTAAGTTGCCAAGGCTGGGCTCAAACTCATGATCTCCCTGCCTTCCCCTTGCAGAGTGCTGACATGCGCCACTCTCCTGTGACAAGAGCAGCTCTGACTAAAGACCACTTCAAGACAGATGACCACAGAGTTGCCCCGATGTGCGGGCTGCTGGCACAGGTGGCCCAGTGCCATGCCCGGACTCCATAATTCACTGGGTCAACTCAAGAGTTCCCTTCCCGTGGCAGCTCTGGGGCTGCTTTGCCCAAGAAACAGTGGGGCCTGGCAGAGAGTAGAGGTGAGTCACACCCAGGCGGTGATGGACAGGACCTGGCCATACCTGATGATGTCACACTTCCACTGCTCCCCCTCAGGGCAGAAACTGCTCACACCCTCACGGTACAGCAGGGCCCTCTGCTCTGTCAGCGCCCACACCACGCAGTTCCGGGTAGCGATCTGGGACAGTGGGTAGGGGCAGTCGACCTTCACGGCCCGGGCACAGGGGCGGTCCACGCTGAGGCCTACGGTGGGGGAGGAGCCCAAGACCATCAGCGCTTCCTCCCCTTCTGGCACCTGTGTTTGTGGCTGTGTGCAGGCGCATGTTTATGTGTATGTGTCTGTGTTGGTTATGTTTTCTCAGCATGCACCTCTTCTTTTTAAGGTTTAGTCAACACAAAAAGGTTAAGTTCTGCTTCACCATGATGCCTGTCTGAGGCACTTTTAGACGATCTGGACCCCAAAAGAACACCATCCAGATCCTCTGGGATCCTGGGAGCTCAGAGGCTGCAATGGCAGCTGAAGAAGCCCAATGAGGAACGCAGCAGCCAACGAGGCTTGCAGAACTGCTGTCTGCCAGGAAGGCCGCCTGCTGGCCTCAGGCACCCGGGGACCCAGCTGCCTGGGGCCACCCCCTGCCAGAGCTTGCCAGGGTTCGGTCCCACTGTGAATGCAAACCCCTGGTTGTCTGCCATCACTGCTAGGTCGTGGCAGAGCCAGAGCTCAGGGTCCTGAGCCCTGTCCAGGCTCTTTCCCCTCCCCATCAGCCGATAGCGTGTCCCAGTGAGCTTAAGTCACTCCCAAGGCAGCAGAGCTGGGGCCTACCCTGTGCTCTGTGGCCCAGCCTGCAGCTGGGCCTTGACACTATAGGCACGAAAGCTTTACGGCAGGACCCCCTCCCAGAACGGGACTGAACCTGGGGCCTCTGCACTCAACTATACCCCAGGCCTGTTTTCATTATCTTATCAAGTCCATGAATGGTCCAGGCTGCACTCAGACTTACAATCCTCCTGCCTCAGGCTCCCAAGCTGGGATCACAGGGTGAACCACTGTGTCTGGCCTCATCTGCTGCCTCTTCACTACACAGCCTGGGCCAGCACCATACTCTCAATAGGACTGGGAGAGCCTGGCTCATCTGCCACTGTGGCGCCCCAGGCTGGGATGTGGCTGCTCCTATTCCTGGGTGCCCTGCCCCACATGAAAGAAGTTCCAACATCCTGGGTGCTGGAGGTGCAGCACTTCGTGGAGTTCTTTCCAATTAAGAGAGGACCCCCGGAGGACCCTGGCCACCTCACTTGGCCCAGCAGGCAGCCTGGGGCTGCAGGCCCAGGGATGGCAGCGGAGCGGGGGCACTCACTCTCCAGAGCCAGGAACCAGTAATGCTGAAGGGCAGAAGAGTGAGCTGCACACACACCACAGGGCTCAGGCAGCACAGCAGCACTCCTGCCCTGTCCTCCCCAGCATGCCGGGCTGGCGCCCCTGACAAGCTGTCTCCCACTGTGCTGACACACACAGCACAGACCCTCGTTATAGCTTATTTTTGTAATACACAGCCCCACTGTGCTACTTCTAGGAGCTGAAGGTTTCTCTGAGGGCAGTTTCCTAGAAGAAGCTGGCTGCCATTTAGAAAAAATTAGTTCTCTGTGTGTGTTGGGGGGGGGGGCGCCTCAGCCTACCCTGGGGGTGGGACTGGTGTGGCATGTGATCAAACTTTGGTCCCTGTGCTGGCCTAAGCAGGCACTTTAGACAGCTGAGCTATCTTGCCAGTCCTCTCATAGTTTTCTGACCCATGTGTACACAGGAGCTGGGCCTTGAGCTGACTGAAGCCAGCGCAGTCCCTTATGCTCCCAGGAGAGAGGGCTCTGCTGGTCTTTCTGTCTTCCTCTTCTCCTGACGCTGGACCCCCAGGGTGAGTGACAGCCAAGCTTAGCCACAGGACAGGACAGTGCCGCTCTACTACTACACAGCCCGAGGACTTAAACTTGCCCTAAACTTGTCCAAGCTGAATCTGCTCAGCAGCAGAGCACTGCTGATCTATTCCACACGCTCACTCTAGAAAGGGCTTTACTAAAACCACACTTGACTCTGGGGCGAGCGGCTGTTCCAAGTGGGCTGCTGCTCACCGGTCTGCAGGTACAGGTCGCCGTTGGTCCTGATGATCCAGGCCGTGTCATCGCTCAAGGCCACAAACACAGCCTGGGGCAGCGCTTCATACCAGTGCCGCTTGCCCTTGATGGTGACTTTCCCACACGCAAAAGCACGATTGGACTTCTGCTCAATCTTCCAGAGCAGGGCTCCTGGGAAAACAAACATTCTACTCACTGCAGGACCAAGGTTCGAGTCACCTATGAAGACCTGCATCTTGGGTCTGTAGGAGATTTCCAGATCGTATCTGCTCTTCCACTCCACCAGGCCAGGCCGGAGGTCTGCGCCTCTGCTACCCCCCTCCAGCTGCTGGGCTTCAGTGCTACATCCCTCAGCATCCTCTAGCCTACTTGTCCCCTTACAGGCTGATCTGAGGCTTCAGGTTCCAGAAGCAGAGAGCACTTGGGGCTACCATGTCGCTCACTTTCACTCCAGGGGCACAAAAACTGCAATGACATCAGAGGTCTGAGAAGTTTTTTTGAGTCAAGGTCTCACTGTTTAGGTAGACCTGAACTCTGTGTAGCCCAAGCTAGCCTCAAACTCACAGTGATCCTCCTGCCGCAGCTTCCTGAGTGCTGAGATTGCGCGCATCCCCCACTATGCCTGGCTACAAGTGCTGGTCTACAGAGACGTACTGAGGTGCCATTAGTGCCCAAGGAGTGGCTGGAACCAAATGGCAGGGCACACGTGCACACGAGCTTCTGGCCCACCTGCCCCATCACGCTGAAATACAGTGGCCAACACTAAGAAAAAGCAATCCAGGTGTGGAGTTCCTGGAACTCCAACAAGCTGGGGCAGGAGGATCCAAAGCTTAAGTCCCACCTGGGAAACTTAGTGGGACCCTCTCGCAAAATAAAGGCCTGGGTATGTAGCTCGGTAGTTTGACCCCAAGTACTATTAAAAACAAAAAAAAAAAAAAAAAAGAGAGAGGAAGGAAGGGAGAAAGGTATGGAGGAAAGGAAGGCGAGGAAGGAAAATAAACAAGTGCAATGGAGAAAATGCCGGTCCGGGACAGAAAGGGAGTGGGGTTTTTTTGGGGAGTGTTTTGGAAGTGCTACTGTCACTAAGACCCTTAGTGACAGGTGAACAGCCTGGTATACTTCTCTGCAGCTGGGTATAGATCATTCATCCAGAACATAGAGCTCATTAAAGACTTTCCAGAAAGGAATCCAAGCCATTGGAATGAACCCTGCATGTTCCCAGGCCTGCCCTCCTGAGTTCAGTGGCTTTGGAGACAAGGACATATGGAAGTACATTTTTAGTCCCGTAGTCCCTAGTAGTAGTGGGTTATCCAGAGGACTGGCAACGTCAGAAGTTGTTGACTTGAGCCTTTCACAGCTCAGCATATTAATATGGCTTTACTTTTTATACCTCGTTATTATACTTTTCTGCAGGATGGTTAAGACCAAGATGAAGTGTTTTTTTTTGTTTGTTTGTTTGTTTTTGTTTTTTTTACACTGAATGCCTTCAAGGCATGACTGGCTGTATTGTGTTGTGGGGATCGAACTCAAGCAACCTGAGCCTGACTGTTTTGTTGAAGCAGCCACTTAAAGAACTGAGCTACCGGGCAGGCCCCCAAGACCAAGATGAAGCAAGATGTCTATAACAAGAAATGTAACTTCTGTATCTGCCAAGGTCAGTCAAATCCCCTCAGGATTTACCCTGAAACCCTGTACCACAGTTTGTACATCCTTTGTCAGTGTCAGCCATGTGGATGAGTCACGACCATTGCTTGGCCGATGTGCTCTCTGTGAAAGCCTGAGAGAATGTTTTCTCTCTGTGTGACTCTCCTTAGGCACAGGAATACTATCTCTGACAAAACTAACAAAAAAAGGGGATCTAAATGAAGGACCAGGGGCTGGTGAGATGGCTCAGTGGTCTAAAGCGCCTACTTAGAACAAGCTTAGCAAAGCACAAGGACCGCGGTTCAATCCCCCAGCACCACATGCCAGCCAGCCCCGCCCCCTGGTGGGCTGAGCTGGCCACACACACACACACACACACATAAATAAATAAAATTTTAAAAAAAAGATAAATAAATAAAAATAAATGAAGGACCACTTTGTATCTGTATATACAAAATAGTTAGGATAGATCTACAGCTACTTTCTCTTAATTCAATAAGAAGAAAGATTTGTACTAATAGTGTTTGGACAGGATATCATATCTGCATCTTGTACTATGAATAACTACTATGAAGACAACAATATGCAATGTATTAATTATTGAAACTGTCCTACTAGCCTGTTTTGAAACTGTCTCATTGCTATTTCTCAATAAAATTAATTTTTAAAAAACTATGTTCAAGTTGGAGACCAGCCTGGGCTCAAGGTGAGTGCAAGGCCAGCCTGAGCTGCATAGCAAGACCGTCTCAAAAAAGACACAAATAAATAAATAAATGAACAAAATCCCGAACTCTAAACAGTTCTGACGCCATTCACTGATGGGGAAGGAGGCGATTTTCCATCTCTGGGCTCCTTCCCAGATCCCATCCAGGGTGGCACACAGCAACAGAAGCCCAGAGTGGGGCGCGGCTGTGGGTGGGGAGGCCAACCTGAGGGTGACACTGCCACCTGCTGGACGGCATCTTCGAACTTTTGCCAGCGGAGCCCGGCTCCTGGCAGTGCACTGCAGAACAGGCCGCCCTTGTAGTCCAGGCACCAGACGTACTTCTCGGACACCACCAGGCTGAGGATGCCGTAGCCAGGGCCTGAGTAGCCCATCCAGCTCTCTGCAAACTGAGGAGGACAGGGGTGCATGAGAACCAGTGCAGGGACGGAGCTGCGCTCACTGCATGGCTGTCATGGAGGACAGTGTCATAAGGCTGCAAGGGTTTCGGAGGAGCCAAATAAATTCGTCCCATGCTCAGCCTGCACAGAGCCATGCTGCAATGGATGCAGGTGCCCCTGGGAAGACTGGTGACCTGTAACACTCTGACGCTGTTCCTGAGTAACGCTCGGTGTCCTGTGAACAAGGACCCGGCTTTATTCAACCTGGCTTGTGTGCCCTGTGGCCAGCTTGGCTTCCTCAGCCTCAGTCCACAATGACAGAACCTACTTGGCTGCCTCCAGCACTGGATGCCACAGCACAAAGCAATCCCAGGGGATTAGGAAGCATTGGACGAGGAGCAATGTGGGGCTGGAGAGTGGCGCCAGGCTGGACTCCGAGGTCCCAGGGGGCACAGGCCAGGCCTGCTCTGCCCTCTCATTGCGGGGTTTCCCGAGCCTCAGGTTCCTCCTCAGGCACCGGGGAAAGAGTCCCTGGTTTGCGGCCTATTGTGCTTTCGAAGAAGCGTGCTGCCCTCCAGACACATGTGGCACGTCCCTGCATGTGGCGAGTGCTGACAGGCACTGCACTGTCAGCACAGAGAATCCACAGCTGTGGAGGGAAGTGGATGGCCATGGGCCACATCTCAAGTCCATGGTCAGCAGGAAACGCCATAGGAGGAGTTAGCTTTGAAGCCAAATGCATCTCGTTATAAGGATGTACTAAGGAGGGCAAACACCTTTTAAAAAAATAATTTTTATAAAAATGTCTCCAAAGTCCATAGACTCCTCCTTATTCCATGGGCTGGGCAGACACATAAGACTAGCGACCTGCAGGTCAGGGAGGCGGCAACTCCTTCAGGGATCTGTGCGTGGACAGGAAGGGACGCCGGCCTCCATCCACCACACCGGCTGCTCCAGTCCGGCACAAACACAAGAAGCTGTTTCCCACCACAACAGGGCACTGGGGGGGGGGGGGGGCTCAAAAGTAGCTCAGAAGCCTACACCACAAATTCTCCCAAGCCCAGACTTCAAGATGTATTCAGGTTTTATAGCAGGATTATAAATGATTTCCATAAGAAGGAAAATAATCAGACTTGCCAAGAAGTCTTTATGCAAAAAAGTAGTCTGCCAGGTACGAGACAAGCCTATAATCTGAGCAACTCAGGAGGCTGAGGCAGGAGGGTCACAACTTTGAACCCTATCCAGGCAACCTAGCAAGATCCTGTCTCCAAGAGCTGGGATGTAGCTCTTGATAGAACACCCCCAGGTTCAACACCAAGTACTGACAAAAGAAAGGGAAAGAACCAAAAAAGAAAAGGACAGCAATCATTGACCTGCCACTGCTAGGGACCGCACCCGACCACATCACATACCTGATCCAACTTGAGCAGGGTGGGGTCATCCATCCCAGGCTGGCTCAGGTCCTGCACAGAGTGCCCGGCTCGGAGCTCTGTGACACTTGTCTCTGAGGATGAAGACGGCAGCCCATGGGCGTAGATGTCTTCCTCGTCACTGGAGGTCAGCACTGGGTCCCGGGATGGTGGCTCAAGCCAAGGCTCCTGGGTGCCAGCTGCAGAAGTGGTCAGGAGAGGAGTTGTCTGTCTGTTTCCACTGTTCAGGTCACTTTCAGACATGGGTATTTCCTTCTGTCCTGAGTCATAGTCAGTGACAGCAGCAGCCCAGGGTTCTGCACAGAGGAGCCTGGGGATACCCTGGTCTTCACAGATCTGCTGAGTGCTCCCCTCAGCAGCCCTGACTACAGGCAGCCACTGCACTGCCCTTGAGGTCCTGCTGACGCTGGGAGGCACTGTGAGGGAGTCCAGGAGCAGGGGCTCTGGAGAAGGGCCCTGAGAGCCCTTGGCCTCCATGTCCTCCCCCTTGGGGGCCTCAGCAGCACCATCCTGGCCTGGGTGGGACACACGTCTCTTGCCAGGGTCAACGTTCACAGAAGTGGGCAGCTCTATGAGTCCCCTGTCATCGTCACCTTCCACACTGTCCCTTGGGAGCAGCTCCGGTTCCAATGCTAGGTGACCCTGTGGAGCTTGAGAGGCAGCATCGGCTTCTTTGTCCAGGATGTTGGGGGCAGACTCAGGTGCCTCCACGATGCTAAATGTTTCCGGGTCGTTACTCTCCAGCAAGACGCCATTCACCTCGCTGCCCCCGAGGCTGCTCTCGCCGGCAGGTGACTCCGTGCTCAGCTGGTCCACACTGCTGCCCGGGACTCCCGAGGTCATGGACAGCTGCTCCGTGCTCAGGGAGCGGGGGCTGCTGCCGGGGAACTCGGAGCAGGGTGTTGGCTCCAGGGAGCTCGCACAGGTGTGGCTGCCTCCACCTTCTAATTCAAAATAAGAACACTCAGGAGAAAGTCTGACTCCAGACAGCCACAGGGGACTTGGAAACAAAGTTTTGGCTCAAGAAAAAATTACTTTAAATGAAAGAATAAACCTCCTAAGCAACTACAGTCCTGGTGCGGGGATGTTTTAGGATAGAAACACTGATGGAGCTCACCAAGAAATTCTCCAGAAGGAGGTGCCAGCAAAGCAGGGTGTCCCACTACATCACAGATCCCTCTTTCAACATCGTTTAAATGCTAAGCCCCGCAGTGACCTTCAGCCAGCGAGGTATGATAGGCACAGAGAAATTCAGAGTTTATAATGTCCCGTGTTATGTCCCCGTCCGGTGATAAGATGGCCAGCTGCACACCAGCACAGATCTCCTGGGCCCCACCCCTTCCTAGTCTGCAGAATCTCTGGCCCAGTCTGCAGGCCACATGGAGAAGCCCATGTTTTACCTTAAATACTGAAAAGGCCTTCTCAGTAGGGTGCACCAATGCTCTAGGGTCACTCACACCTACCTTGTGTGCATGCGTGTACGCACGCACGTGCGTGTGCACACTTGCACATGACTCCTCCCTCAAGGAGTACGTTCGCTTCCCAGAGGTTGTTGCCTCATCTCTGAGTCTGCAGATGCACACTGCAAGACAGACCCACCTGTCTTCTTCTTCTTCTTCCTCCTCACCCTGATGGGCTTCACGATGAGCTCCTGCTCGAAGTCCTCTGAACTGATGGCCCTGAATCGCTGCGAGGGGGGCTGTCCGCCTTTGCTGGGCTCCAGGCCGCCTGGAGGTGTGGGCAGCAGCAGACTGGAGCCACTGTCGGTGGAGGTGAGCGAGCTGCTCCGGCTCCGGGGCTTGCTGGCTGCTGAGCTGGCCACCGAACTGGCCACCGAGGAGGCCCTAAGCCTGGTCCCTGCAGTGCTGACTCCAGGGGGCTTCTCCGGACACTCCACAGGGATGTATTCGGGACATCTCACGACCTCCAGACTGTCTCTAGCTAAAGAAAAAGAGTTTGGTAAACACTGCTGCCCAAGAGTTGGCTACCCAGGGAAGCAGCTGGCAGAGCGGGAGCATGGTCTCTGAGGCCTGTGACACGATAAGCAGAGCTACAGGTGGCTGTCTGCGGCTCTGCAATGAGGGAAGCTCAGGGTCAGACTCAGGAAAACAGCTTGCTACTGCAGCTATCTCCTGGGCTAGCAGCAGGGAACACCCCAAGTATACAGCCTGTATCACTTCAGCTCACAAATCCTTCATTGTAAAAAGTCTGTGCTGGGTAGATCTCATACTTCGACTATGTCTTAAATAAACCTTAATTTGACTCAGAAAGCATTTGAAAAATACAGGTATACTGACGACCTTCCTGAAGTTCAAGGTGGGACAAGCAATTTTCCACTGGCACAGGCTCTGGATGAAGAAGTAGATGCGGTGATCGCTGTCAACACAAGCACAGAGCAGCCAGGGCAGCATAACACGGGGCCTGTCCCCATGACTGCGAGCCAGCTAGATTCCACTGTAGGGTGCATCCCTCTCAATACACACAAAGCCCACCAGGGCCTGGACAGCTATAGTACGCACTGGTCACCAGGCTTCTGTGCTACCCACATTGCCAGGAGCCAGGACAGAGGTCAAACAGACACAGGGACCCTGGGCTCACGGTGCACCGGGACAAGTGGGCAGGAGCTGCTCGGAGGCGACTTGTCTAGGGCTACACTGTCCAAGGTGGCAGCCACCAGCCACAAGTAGCTATTTACATTCCAATTAATTTCAAGTAAACAAAATGCAAACTTCAGTTGCTGAGCTGCACCCGCATGAACGGGTGACAGCCCAGTAGGCTGTGCACACCCGGAGCAGCTTCACTGCACCAAGTCCTGGCAGCCGTGTCCACAATGCTCCCCAGCACTCAAATCTGGGGCTGTGCGAATTACCAACAAGAACACCCGCTTGTTCAGGAGAAGTTGCCACAGCTCGGCCAGTAAGAGCACAGAAGCCTCATTACACGCCACAGGGCCCCACACTCGCGCTCGGACTCACAACGTGGTTTCTAGCCAACACGAACCTACTGACGCCAGTCCCTCGGGCCTGCTGGAAATCCTAATGATGTTCCGGTCTCCCTTCAAGAAAAATATTTCATTTTCTGTGCAGGAAACAGACACAATATCACCCGATCCTTCCAAACCAGCAATGGTGGCCTGTCAGAGATAAATCAATAAAAATTTCAAAACCAGGTAACAGTAAAAGCTCAAAGCATAATGAAGTGCAAGAATCCGAGCAAGTGACCGCGACACTGTATCACAACTTTTTGAAAAAAATTTTAAGGTCCAGATAGTGAACCCAAGAGTGCGCTACCATTGAGCCACTGAGCTACATCCCCAGCCCTTTTTATTTGAGGCAGGGTCTTGCTAGGCTGCTCTGGTTGGACCACGACTTGTGCCTACCACTGTTTCACCCTCCTTGGTAGGCAGGATTAGAGGTGTGTGCCACTATGCCCAGCTCTGAAGGCTGGGTTGGTTTCAGTTTTCTTTTTGTGGTATGGTAGAGTCAACTCATGTCTTTGCACTGATCCACGTCCTCAGCTTTATTTATTTATTGGGAGACAGTCTTGCCCAGTTGCCTAGGCTGGGCTCAAGCTTGCCATCCTGCTGCAGTCTCCCAGAATGCTGGAGTCACAGGCCTATACCACTACACCTGGCTGAAAATCCTTCAGTGTAACTCAGCCCCAAGTCAGATGGTCTCACAGATACACCTTGGCAGTAAGGTGACAGGGCTGGGCCAGCAGAGCCTCTCCCTATGCTCCCACCACTTGGCTCCCCCTGCCTGGGACCCAGATCTCGTCCTCCCTGGCAAGGGGCCCCTGCCATCGGTGGCTACTGTCACCTCCTGCCACCCACGCGGGCAGGTCCCTGTTCCTCACCAGCACAAGTTTTTCTCTCTGCTCAGACTCCTCTAGGTCCTGATCACTGCAGGGACTTCAGTGTGACCTGGAACTGCCAGCTCAGGTGGGTGACTCTGGCAGCTGTTGCTTTGCAGCCAACAGCACAAGCAAGGGACGGTCTGCTGCATCCCTAAAGAGGGATCTGCACTCCCTGCTAACTTCCTGTTAGTCCAACACATTGCTGGAGGCAGGCCCGGGCTGCTGAGAACCGGGGAGGCCACAGACCTGCTCTGGCTGGGGCCTCCAGCCCTGCTTAGGAACCCATGGTTAATTACAACTACAGTCAAAGCTCAGAAGTACGCAGTGAAAAGCACTGGGCTGGGTGACAGGCTATTCTGATGCCACGCTCCAAAGAAGCCCAAGGGAAGACAGAAGTTACCATCATTGGGAAGGGGCACAGAGACTGTCTGCAGCTAGGAAGCAACCCCCTGGCCAGCAGCACCACCCCACTTCCACCATCAGAAAACCAGGCTCAGGCCAGCGAGGCCCAAAGGGCGAGAGGTCTGAGGGTCCACTTTATTTTCTACTGAACTAATTCCACTAGGCCTGGCTGACGACTGTAATTAGGGAGCTCTGATGGGGACCAGACGGATAAGCGTCTATTAAGAAAACCCTCTGCCCCCTCCAGGGTGGCTCTGCCTCTCCCATGGTGGGACACAGCAGTGGCCCAATGGGAGCCTGGGGTGACTGTAGGTGGTGTCGGCTGGCAAAAGTTTTACTCTTAGGACGAGAAAAAACGGCAAAGAACTGCTTTGTTTAAAGTAACAGTGGCCTCTTTATCACCTGGATACAAGCAGAAACTGCTTCCTACCACGATCTAATAATGCCAGGAAGTTACCCTAGTGTCATTAAAAAGTGAGAAAACACCCTGGCAGAATAACGCAACCTCATCTACGAGCAGGGGTGAGAGAGAGAGGACGGGTGGACAGGCCCCTCCCTGCCCTGCCCAGGGTCAGTGCAGGCCTGCGTGTGTCCAGAGGTGGTCAGGCCCTGAGTGAAAGCTCAACGCCTCACCGTGGTCAGTGTCAGAAAAGGCAGGGCCAGGGGCTGGGGTGCTGCTCGGGACAGGTTTTTCGGCAGTGCAACAAAGAGATAGGAAAGATAAAAGCCTCTATTAACTCCAAAGACACGGAGAAGATCGAGGGCAGATGGGGCAGGTAGATCCTCTACGCTGAGACAAAGAAAGCTGGGGCTTTTCTGGCCTTTTGCTGGGGTGGGGTTGGAGGGGGCTGTTTAGAAGTATCTGAGGAGCTGATTGAGGTCTTCCCTGAGGTGGCGGGAAAGGTGAGAGGAAACTGCACCTTGGGCTGGCTTGGAGAGGGGAGAGGTGGTCTCTGGGAAGATGAGCGGTTATTTAAGGGCTTCAGCCATGTGAGCTGACCACCATAATAGTTCAGCAATTCACACCAGGGCCAGAACCTATCAACTCAGTGACGGAAGTGGTGTCTGGTTAGCATGGCAAGGCCCTGGGCTTCATTCTCAGCACTGGGTAAAAAGGAAAAAGGAAGAACATGGCCCAGCCAGCCTGCAGGGAATAGCACTTACATATAAAATGTGCACCTCATTTCTTGGAAGGGTAAACAGGACTGAATTTCTTTTTTTTTTTTTTTTTTTTTTTAAGTATTTAGTACAGCGTCTACAGGGTCTCACTGCATAGATCAGACTCGTAGGGATCCACCTATGTTCAGCCTCTCAAGCACTGGGATTACAGGCACGCACCATCATGCCCAGTCTCAACTGCAATCTCAGCATGCCCCGGGGGCGGGGCCAGCATGGCAGGCTCAGGGATCGAACCCCCGGCCGCTTTGCTCTGCCTAAGCAGGCGCTTTAGTCAGGACTGAATTTCAAAAGCAAACTATTTTTTAAAATCTACAAAAAATGACCAAATGTTCTATTCATTCCCTTGAGCGGCCCACAGGAGAGGGAAGACACAGGAACCAGATCCCTTTTCCCTGAGGTACCCGCAGCCCGGGCCACTACACACCTGGCTCACGGTGTCCAGAAGGTAGATGCTGTACTCGTTCCAGCTCAGCACCCAGCCTTCCCGGAAGAAGCAGGACACCAGCCCCAGGTGCTTCTCAGGAGAGCCACAGCCACCCCGGTCTGTGGGATCCACACGTGGGTACAGCTCGAAGGGCGTGACCCCACCGGCAAAGACGTCCTTGAGGATGAAGGTGGCCTGCACTGAGCCTCGCACGTCGGCCTTCCACAGCCGAAGCCCAGGCCGGGCTGCATACAGGGTGAGGTCGCTCTGCTTGCACAGTCCTGGTATAAAACAAGCACCAAATTTCCCAGTACTACAGTCAGGAGAAAAAAAGAAAGAAAAGACCAGGCATGGACTGATTTATAGTGATGTGGCTGCCAGCCCGCCAGTAACAACAACAGAATCCAGGTATTGGGTTCCCTCTCCTGCCATTCCAGCTCTGTGGCCACATCTCAGTCTGCTTTAGGCAATGCGGACAGAGGTAGCAGCTGGCCTTCTGTCCTCTGAGTGGCAGCTGTGCCAACCCCAGTAAGGACCTGTGCACAGCACAGAGCACCCATCTCCACTGCTGTCCTCCCAGACCTTCCCTAAAGCTGGAACTTCCTTTCTGGTCCCCAGGATTGGTATCTTTTTCTTGTTTAAATCATGAAATGTCCGACACATGCAACATATAAGTAATAAAAGTTAAGAAGCCTAACGGGCTGGGGAGATACCTCAGCAGTCTAAGTGCCTGTCTGACAAGAGCAAGGATTGGGGTTTGATCCCCAGTACTATATGCTGCGCCAGCCCTGGAACCCTGGTTGCACCATGCTAGCTCCAAAACCAGGCATGATGGCGCATGCCTGTAGTCCCAGTGCTGGGGAGGCTGAGGCAGGAGAATCACTACGAGTCTGAGCTGCATAGTGAGACTCTGTACCAAATATTTTTAAAAAGGAGCCTAAGGGGACACCCAGGCATGCGCCCACCCCCAGAGCAAGAAGCCCTGAGCAGCCCGACGCCTGTGCTCCGTGGCCAGCGTTGCCCATCCGTCCTGCCCACTGTGACTGCCAAACTCTACTTAGTCGTTCCCTCGCTCTTATTTCTTGCATCACCACATAGCTACACAGTGCTAAACACTATGTAATGTAGAACTGTCTTTCACTTTCTTAAAAAAGAATAACTCCATTTGTATACTTTTTGCAATTTGCTTTTTTCATTTAACATTGCTTTTTAAAAAAATATTCAGTGCAGGGTCTACAGCATTTTACTACACAGATTGGACTCATAGTAATCCTCCTGTTTTCAGCCTCCCAAGAGCTGGAATTACAGGCGAGCCACCACGCCCAGTCTCACTTGCAGTTTCAGCACACCCCGGGGATGGGGCCAGCACAGCACTTCGGGGACTGAACCCCGGTTCACTGTGTCTGCCTCAGCAGGCGCTTTAATCTGCTGAGCTATCTGGCTGGCCCCTTCACATTGCTTTTAAGATTTATCTTTGATAAAACAAGCTGGAGCACTTGTTCCTTTTCATTGTTGTATCACAGTCCACCTCCTATTCACCCTCTTGTCAAAGGGCATCTGAAATTTGGCTTTTTCATTCTCTGCTGGAGATTATCGCTGGCTGAGCTCCACTGAGCACACTGCACCCGCGCCCAGTCGCTTGCTGCTGGCTGTTGTACTAGTTACAACAATGTACCATGAACACCTGGGCACACACGCACTAGCACACAGGCAGAAGAGTCAGCCTAGGCTATTCCAGAGTGGCACTGCTGGATTTTGACCAAGAACACATTCAAGTTTAGAAAGTAATTCCAGGCTTTCTTCCCTGTAACAGTACCAGCCTATGTGCCCCAGAAATCTGGGTCCTTAGGGTCCCACATCTGCATCAGTGCTCAGATGTCCACCAGAGTCCCAAAGGAAGAGATTTGGGGCAGCCCTAACCCTGCTGATTCCTATTCTACACTATCCCTCACATTTTTCTTTTTTCATTCCTTTTGTTTTATTTTGTTTTTTGAGACAGTGTCTTGCTATGTAGCCCAGGCTGGCCTTGAACACATAGTGATCATCCGGCCTCAGCCTCCTGAGTGCTGGGGTTACAGTCATGCCACCAAACCTGGCTATCTCAAAGATTTTCAACAGCAGCAAGAGCACTGGCTTTAGAGCGAGATCTCAACCCCCTACTCCCAATTTAAGATCTCCTGGGATCTCAGCCTCTCGATCCCTAAAGGCCAGCTCGGTGACTGCCAGCTTAAAGAAGGAGGGTGCGACTGTGTGACTGGCAGGGAAATGCTGGGAAGCTCAGCAGGTGATGCCCTCAGCCGCACGTCCCGGGAGTCCCGACTCCTGACCCTGTGCCCACAACAGGCCCCTGCCAGACAATGGACTCCCCAGCCTACCAGAGCTGGGCAGATATTTATGGGGGTTCTCCACAGGTCATTATCTTACTAGGTCCTCCATAACTAAATCCCTCCAGCTGGGGTCTAAGGAGGATATCGCATTTCAAGCTCACCTCTGAACAACGGTCATTAGACCAACGACAAGGCATTTGTTGTGTTTTGGTTGTTTTGCAGCACTAGTGACTGAATTCAAAAGTGCACCATCACTGAGCTATACCCTTACCCCTTCTTAAAATTTATTTTGAGACAGGGTCTCGCTAAGTTGCCCAGGCTGTGCTCCAATTTGTAAGCCCCCTGGCCCAGGTTTGGTGACATCAGAGATGCTGGGATTGGTTACAGCTGAGCGCTCGCACGTTAGGCCCAGGTGGATTTGATAGACAGCTGTCAGGCACTGACAACTGCCCCAGTGCGCTCACGGAGGATCCACAGCGGGGTCCAAAGGGACTATGTGGGACCCAAAGCCCTCTGCCCTTCCCTCGCACTTTTCCAGGCCAGCCAGCTTGTTGGCCGAGTTTTTAATGTTTTCAGTACTGGGACTGAGTCCACAGGCTGTGCACTAGCTACTACCCAGCACTTTCTTACTCTGAGGCAGCATCTCATCAAGTTATGCTGGCTGGACCAGAACTTGTGCCTCCTGCTCAGCCTCACAGAGGCCAGGCCAGGTATGTCGATTATCCTGTTACTCTACGGTAAAACAGCAGAATTAATACATTAATTCTGGGATTCTAGGTAGATGCCACAGTGCCTGGCTTGGTGATCCCATTTGTAAATGCTTTCTAAGTCCTCTGACACACTGGTCACTTCTGCCTCGATTTACTTGCCTTATGTAACTGCAGCAGTGCTCAACATGCTGGATGTTCTTAGTTTAGGCTGCGAAGGCCTGTCCAGAGCACACCCAGGAGGTTCCCAAGACCCTCCCAGGGATTTGTGCCACAGCACAGGAGGACAGGGTTGAGGAGTGGCACAGGGCATGGCCTGGGTTAGGGCGACTGGCTGCCCAGCCCTGCAGCCAGCAGACACTGCCACAGGCACCCCAGGCAAGCCAGGACCAGCTTCCGGGCAGCAGGGCCAGCTGGGGGTGGGGGTTGGGGTGGGGGGGTGTCAGGATCTGCTTTGCATGGCTTCCTCGCTAATGCAGAGTGGGGTCCACCTAGAGGGGCAGGGGCGTGTGAGACAGAAGCTTGGGGAGTGCGAGTGTCACCACGGCCAGGACCTGTGTGCCAAGAATAAGCCACTGTGCTGCCGCCGGCTCATCACACAAGGACAGTGGGGCGCAGCCGGTGACCTCACCACCAGCCCTCCCCTGGCACCACCAGTCTGAGGCCTCGCCTCACTGCCACTTCACTGCCCCTCTCTGTACACTCCCAGTACCATGGCCCAGAGCCCCTTGCCCCATCCATGAGGCCAAGCCAAGCAAAGGAGGACACAAATGGGAGCCCCTGGGCCCACAGTCAGCAGCCACACTCATACCTTGTTCCTTGTCCCTTCCATCTCGCCCCCCACATCCCCAGCAAGCTAGCAGCAGTGTGTGACAACGGACTGTTTTTTTGCTTTGTGGAGGGGTCTGCCCGGGAGGGGACAGGGGCACAGGCCCCAGGGTGGAACACTGCACCTGCAGGCTGTCCCTGAGGAGCGTCACCTCGGGAGCACATGCTGCCCATGTGACTTGGGCAAGGTTGACGCAGGCCACCAGGCACCTGGGAGCTGCAGGAGGAGAGGCTGTGGCCCTGCTGGCATACAGGACATCGAGGAGACCCTGCAGCCACCGTGTCCCAGGCAAGACGAGTACTCACACAGCTCACCTCTTCCTTGCCTGAGTCCCAATCTGCTGGACAGACTTTTCCTCAGTGTAGAAGAGCAGGCTTCTCTGCAGGGTGGACACCAGCAGCACCTTCTGGCTGTAATCCAGCTGCACGATGGACGCCGGCTCCTCCAGCACTAGCAGCGAGCTGCAGAGCCCCTGCAGGAGACCAGAAGCGCCAGTGGCCACCTGCTTTCCCGTGAGTCAGGTCACATCAGCCCACAGCAGAGTATCTGGGAAACCACCCACCCGTGCCACGTCAGGCTTCACGGTGTGTGTGTGGGGGGGGGTCACCGAACAGTGCACACGATTTCTCTTAAAATGTTCTCAGCGAGTAGTTCAGAAAAGAATCCACAGATCTAAACTGAAACACACCAGGCCAGGTATGTCAATTATTCTGTTACTCTGCTGTAAAACAGCAGAAGGGGCTTTCAATCAATGACTGTGACAGTGACCAGATCTCCTGCAACTATCCCCTCCGTAAGAGTTCAAAGCCATCAGAGGACAATCACGCCAATGCGAAGGGGCGCGGGGACAGGTGGTCAGGAAGGCTCCAACCTGACCCTATGTGCTTGAGGTGGTACTAATACAAAAGTTTCTCCCAGACACAGTAAATCCCAGTGGATATTTCACTACTAACACTATTTTTCATGACATCAAAAACTGGTTTCTGAGCCAGACATGGTGGCACATGCCTGCAATCCCCAGCACTCAGGAGGCTGAGGCAGGAGGATTGCTGCAAGTTGGAGACCAGCGTAGTCTACCAAAGGGAGCGCAAGGCCAGCCTGAGCTGCACAGCAAGATCCTGTCTCAAAAAATGACCAAAGGAGCCGGGGAGATGGCTCAGTGGACTAAGCACTTCCCTGGCAAGCGCAAGGGCCTGAGTTCAATCCCTGGTTCCACAAAAAGTATGTTGATTAAGAAATACTGCTGCAAGCCAGGCAGGGCTGGAGGCCTATAATCCCAGAACTCCAGGAGCCTGAAGCAGGAAGACTGCAAGATGGAGCCCCACTTGGGCAATCTAACCACTTAGTGAGATTCTACCTCAAAATAAAAAAGAACTTGGGTATAGCTCAGAGTGAAGGCCCTGCCTTCAACCCTCAGTAGAAAGAAGAAAAAAAAACCTGCAGTGTGTGGCCAATGAGGGGAGACTGGACAGATATATTGGCAAAATTTACACATGCTGAAGTTCACCATTTTCAGGAGCACAATTCTAAGATTTTTAATGAAACCCCCCCCCCCCCCCGCAAACACCGAGGGCTCTGTGCGAAGCTCACAGAATGCAGCTCTCCACTTCTAACACTGCTTACCGTGAGCTCACACCACATTTTACAACGGCCAAACTCTGTCTGCTCTGCGCCACCTCTCACGGTACCCATGGCCCTCGTGTCTTTCTGGGCCTTGGGGCCAGCTGCTTCTTTGCCGGTCACTCCGGAAGAGTGGCCCGCTCCAGGCAGCACAGGCATGCTCATTGCGACATACTGTCTGCCCTTTGTGCTGACAGACAGGGGCCACTGCGGGGACCTTGGCCTGAACCAAAGAAGTGGCGCTGAATTCCACCAGCAGGCACCATGCCTTTCACCACCATGCCCGCTTGGCTAAGCCAGGCTTCCCCATCACGGGGTCCACTGAGACACAAAGGGATAACCTCACTGAGTCTCCACCACAAGCACAGGAATGTCTACACAGGATGATACGATGGGATGTGCGCCTGCAACCCTTCTGCACACCGAGGCACGCTGGTTCTCTCAAGGAAAAGCCCTGAGCCTCACTGGGGCTGGAGGGGAGCCAGCTGCTTTCCTCCCAAAGCACCCTTCTGACTTGGAATACTGTAACTACTGAGGCTTGGGCATTTGGCAGACATTTCAGAGGAAGCAAGCCTATCACTTTAAGGAAAAGAAGTGATTGTGTTACTTATTTCCAAGTGAGGATGCAGTTGTGAAACATCTACTGAGGTACAGGGTCTCAGGATAAATCCTGAGGGATTTCACTGACCTTATCAGACCCAAAAGCTACAACTCTTGTTGCATAGGTCCTGCTTTACCTTGGTCTTAACCACCCAGCAGAAAAGTATAAAAATGAAGTAAAGAAGTAAAGCCATGGTGTAAAGTTGAACTATAGGGGACTCAGGTCAACAATTTCTGACACTGCCAGTCAAGCAGAAGACCCAATACTATTATGGACTACTGGACTATTCTGGAATATTTTGCTGAGTTCACACATCTATATTTAAATGACGGAACTAAACAAAAAAAGGGGATATAGATGAATGAATACTTTGTATCTGTGTATTCAAAATGGTTAGGATAGATATATAGCTACATTCTCTTAATTCAAAGAATAGAGGGATTTGTTCTAAAACTGTTTGCAAATAGGATATCATGTCTGCATCTTGTACAATAAATAACCACTAGGAAGGCAGTATGCAATGAGTTAATTATTGGAATTGTCCTACCAATTTGATTTGAAACTGTCTCATTGCTATTTGCTTCTCAATAAAATTATGGGAAAAAAAAAAACCAAAACATCTGTCTTGTTAACTGGACCAGGTGGAGGGTGATGTACAAAATAAATATTTTGCCGGGCATGGTGATGCACACCTGTAATTCCAGCATTTGGGAGGCTGGGGCAGGAAAACCATCATGCTTTCAAGGCCGGCCTCAACTACACCGTTTCTCAAAAAGCCAACCTCCCCTGCAAAAAACTCAAAAACTCCAGTGTCAACGCCTGGGAGATGCATATGGTGCCGCGTCACAAGGACAGAAGCCACACCTGGGCCAGAGACCAAAGCAAGCACACTGGCAGGAAAGCTCGCCCAAGGCGTCGGGCCCACACCGGGCCTGATGGCATGGAAGCTGCCGCCCTCCCGCCTCCCATGCTGTTACAAGCCAGTGTGAGGCTGCGGAAGGCAACAGAATCCAGACTCCAGCCTCTCCTTGGAGGCCTACAGTGCTAGGACTATAAGCGTGCGCCACCCTGCCTAGCTAAGCTGGGCATCAGAGAGATTTGTGAAAATATAATGATGCCAATCTTCTCATTTTTTTTTTTTTTTTTTTAATATTTTTGGTTTGGTTGCTTGCTTGCTTGTTTTTGCAACAGGGTCTCACTATGTAGTGTAAGCTGATCTCAAATGTCCTGCCTCAGCCTTCCAAGTACTGGGATTACACGTGTGCAACCGTACCCAGACTTATTTTTTGTTTTTGTATTTTAGGGAAGGGTCTACAGGGTGTTCAGGGTCTCACTATTAGATCAGACTCACAGTGATCCGCCTGTTACAGCCTCCCAAGAGCCAGGGTTACAGGCCCGCGCCACCATGCCCAGTCTCAATTGCTGTCTCCATCAGTGTGCCCCGGGGGCAGGGCCAGCACGGCAGGCCCAGGGATTGAACCGCTTCAATCTGCTCAGGTATTTGGCTGGCCCATCATTTGTTTTTTGTTTTTGTTTTTTTCCATCATTTGTTTTTATTTTTCATTATTTTTATTTTTTTATTCATCATTTGGGGTTTTTTTGGCAGAACCAGGGATTGAACTCAGACCCTTGTGCTTGCCAGGGAAGCGCTTATTCTACTGTCATCTCCCCGGCCCACATCATTTGTTTTTAAATAGGTACTTCTATGAAAAAATATGGTATCTCTGCTAACATGCAGTGGATTGATTCCTTCAAATCACAGTTGACACTTAAAATGCCTCTGGTTTAATTTCCAGCCGGCAGATAGATGCAACCTACGCAGCCAACGCTCTTCAGGGCCTCTTTCTAAAGCTACTTTTTTTTTTTTTTTAGTACAGGGTCTCACTACACAGATCAGACGTAGTGATTCTCCTGTTTTCAGCCTCCCAAGCCCTGGGATAACAGGTGTGCGTCACCACACCCAGTCTCAATCACCAGCTCAGCACGCCTCGGGGGCTGAGGTGGCAGAGCACCCTGGGGAGCGAACCCTGGCCACTGTGCTCTGCCTAAGCAGGCGCTTTAGTCCACTGAGCTATCTGGCCAGCCCTTATGGTTCTCCTTCCAAGAGCACAAAGAGGCCCCACACTGAGGGTTAAGAACACCAGCTGGACAGCGCCTCTGAGAGAGGCCAATGTTGGGCCAGACGGCCCAAGAGCACTTGATCCTGAGCACAACTGCCTCTGGTCACCAGCAGGAGGGAGGTGGGGCTGCCACTCCTGATCCATTGAGGTGACACCCAAGGCCGCACCCTGCCCTGCCTGCATTCCCGAGAACAACTTCATCCTGCTGGGGCTCCAGGCCAGCGCCGTGATGCTAGTTCTGTGAACCCTGGTGACATCAAATCTCCGAAGCTATGGCAGCCAATGAAACACAAGGCAGGGGAATGCGTGAGCGTGGGGCCGGGCTGTGTGGCGATGGCCCCTTCCACAGAGCAGCCGCAGGCTAGGATGGACAACAGGTGAGTTCCCCATTCCCTGCAACACCCACGTCTATCCCTAGGAGGAGTGAAAATGGTTCCATTCACTTCTACTTTTTTTTTTTCTTCTAAGACAAGGTCTCACTGCACAGTTCAGGCTGGCCTTCAGCTCATTCTGTAGCCCAGGCTGGTCTCAAACTTGCAAGGATCCTCCTGCTTCAGCCTCCCAAGCACTGGGTGCCAGGTGTGCACCATCACACCCAGCTTCACCTTTCTAACCACCAGAAATGATAACAGCTTCTCTTTTCTAAGTAGTAGCAGTAAGAATAGCAAAATGAAAGTGTTTCACCTAAGAGGCAATTGCTAGATACGTCCAGGCACGGGAGTGGAAGCCCAGAACTCTGGGAAGCTGAGGCAGGAGGATGACAAGTTCAAGCCCAGCCTGGAAAACTCACAACTCAGAGAGTTGCTTGGGAGGCAGCTCAGTGCCAAGGCCCTGGGCTCAATTCCCAGTATTTAAAAAAAGGAAAAACAGGGGCTGGAGAGATGGCTCAGTGGTCTAAAGCACCTACTTAGAACAAGCTTGGCAAAGCATCAGGGACCGCGGTTCAATCCCCCAGCACCACATGCCAGCCAGTCCCGCCCCCTGGTGGGCTGAGCTGGCCACACACACACACCACTCTCTCTCTCTCTCTCTCTCTCTCTCTCTCTCTCTCTCTCTCTCTCTCTCTCTCAAATAAATAAAAAATAAATAAATAAAAAAGAGTTTAAAAAAAAAAAAGGAAAAACAAAAGCTAGCTATGTTTATGCTGATTTGAATAGTCATAACACATACATGAATCAAGTTGTCACATGGTAACTCTAAAGATATACACTTTTTATGTATCAGGAAAAATTTAAAAATAAAGTGAGAGGCCAGGGAAATAGCTCAATGGCATAAGCACCTGCCGTGCAAGCACAAGGTCCTGAGTTTGATCCCTGGCTACTGCCAAAAAAAAAAAAAAGATGAAGCTAAACTAGTTATTTCAGGCTGGCCAAATAGCTCAGCAGAATAAAGTGCCTGCAACAGGGCCTGGGGCTCGATCGTGGGCCTGCCACGCCAGCCCCACCCCTGGGGCATGCTGAGACAGCAATTGAGACTGGGTGTGGTGGCATGTGCTTGTAATCCCAGCTCTCAGGAGGCTGTAAACAGGCGGATCACTATGAGTCTGATCTAGTAGTGAGACCCTGAACACCCTGTAGACCCTTCCCTAAAATACAAAAATAAAAAATAAAAAAACATAAAGTGAATATTGTAGCAAGTTAACTCCTGAATCAAAGAGGTGGGAACTTAGGAAGCACTGAAAAAGAAAAGGGGAGAAAATGCTGCAGGTAATGGCTGTGATGAAAAAGGCACAACAGCCACGAGCACAGGCCAGCTGCAGCCTCAAGTAGACACAAATGCAACTGTCTCACAAGTAGGGAGGGCAGCGGTAATCCCACCAGTCATCTTACCTGGTCGAGATCCAGAATGGAGTACACGATCTTCCCTCTGTCGTCCCCTGAGAACAACTTCATCCCGTTGGGGCTCCAGGCCAGCGCTGTGATGCTAGTTCTATGAACCCCGGTGACATCAAATCTCCGAAGCTATGGCAGCCAATCAAGCACAAGGCAGGAGAACGCGTGAGTACGGGGCCGGGCTTGTGGCCATGGCCCCTTTCACAGAGCAGCAGCAGCTCCATCTGCCCTCCGGGGACCCACAGAGAACACACCCCATGTCCCTAGGGCTTGAAGTGCCCAACGTGCTTTATACCAAGGGTCCACATGGGAACAAGAGTGCTGCCCAGTTAGAAACAGCACAGAATTAGAGGCTGTGGCTATAGCTCAGTGGCATAAGCGCTTGCCTGGCAAGTGCAAGGTCCTGTGCTCTATTCACAGTACAAAAAGAAACAGCACAGAACTATGCTTTTCTGAGCATATATTTGCTAGGTATGGGAGGGTTTCTAATTTTAAAATCCACAAGAATTGGCCTATTATCCCAGAGGCAGGAGCATCACTGTGCATTTGAGGCAGCCTGGGCTACAAAGTGAGACCCTGCCTCAAAGAACACAACAGCACCACCACCTGTGGAATTCGCTGAGCAGCGAGGACTTGCTGACAGGGAGCGCTCACCTGTTTGTTCCTCCCTGGCAGTGAGGACACCAGCTGGAAAACAGCGACCCTCCCCGAGGCTGTGCCTGCGGCCACCAGGTCATCAAAGCAGCTCAACAGCTTCACTACAGTGATGGGCTCCGTCTTCCCCTGAGAGAGCAGGCAAGCAGATTAACTGGAGGCCAACTCACTTTCCAAATGGAAACAAGGAAGCAGCACTGCAGAAGGACAGAATGTCATGGGGTGCAGCCCACAGATTCCTAACCAGAAAGATACAGTCAGGGAGCTTCAATTAAAAGCCTTTTCCTTCCTAGCATTCCTGCCCTTCCTTTTAAATTACATTAAAACAGGGCTGGGGAGATAGCTCAACAGCCTAAGTGCCTGCCTGGCAAGCAAGGTCCCAAGTTCAATCCTGGTACTGAAAAAAAAAAAAAAAAAAAAAGAGGGCTGGTGAGATGGCTCAGTGGTCTAAAGCGCCTACTTAAAACAAGCTTAGCAAAGCCCTGGGACCACGGTTTCAATCCCCCAGCACCACATGCCAGCCAGCCCCGCCCCCTGGTGGGCTGAGTTGGCCACACACACACACACACACACACACACACACACACACAAATAAATAAAATTAAAAAAAAAAAGAAAAGAAATTATATTAAAACAACATAAAATTATCATATTCACTTTTTTATTTCAATGTTACTGAGGACTGAACCCAGGACTTTCACTCTCAGCTACTTCCTTAGTCCTTTTTTTTTTAATCTTTCGAGACAGGGTTTTACCGTATCCCCAAGTTGCCCAGCTGGGCGTGGACATGAGATCCTCCTGCCTCAGCCCCCCAGCGCTAGGATGACAGGCGCATACTGCCAGGCGCAGCACACTGTGCCCATCACCGACAGTGTATTTCTCGGTCCTCATAATGATGCACAAGCATCACTAACAGCCACCGCCAATTCTTCCCATCTTGGAAATGGGAACTTCAAGCCACTGAACAACAACCCCAACCCCATCCTTCCATCCATGGCTGCTGGCAAATCCCCCGGCCCCCCCAAGTTCTAGCTTGTGCTGTGCGGGATCACACAGGAGCCCTCTCTCCGCTGCCTGCTAGAGCACAAGATCTTGGGGTTCGCATGGGCGCTTTTGCCCAGCTCGGGGTTTCCCTCCCCGTGAAGGCAGGGACATTGCCATAGCGTGTAAACCCGCACGCTGCCTCCTTTTGCTGCTGTCCTAATGTGTGCACACACAAGTCTTTGCAGGGCCCCAGGCTACTTCTTTGGCGTGTGTGTTCACAGCGGATCTACTGGCGTGGGCAGTGATGCCCATTTTATGTTGTGGCACTGGGAAGCAAACCCAGGCTCAGTCAGAGCTCCAAGTCCTTTTCATTTCTTATTTTGAGACAGGGTCTCACCAAGTTGCCCATGCTGGCCCAAAACACGGATCATCCTGCCTCAGAATCTTGAGGAGCTGACACTACAGATGTGTGCCACTGTGCGTGGTTTGATTTTTAATTTTTGAAGAAGCATCAATTTCCTAAAGCCACTAAACTATGTTCCTAACCCAGCTAACACGTGTTGCTTCCTGTTTTGTGTACTTGTTTATTTTTTGTCTTTTTTTTTTAATTTTTTTTTTTGGGGGGTGGAACTGGGGATTGAACTCAGGCCCTTGCGCTTGCCAGGGAAGTGCTCATTCCACTGAGCCATCTCCCCGGCCCATTTTTGGTCCTTTTGAGATAGAATCTCATTATGCAACTCAGGCTGATCTTGTGCTCACTTCAGGTGTCCTGGTTGGAGAGGTGGCGAGCACTTTGGTTCTGACTTGTGTTTCCTAGAGGACCAGCTTGTTGCAGGCTCGTTTCTATGGAGAAGCATCTGCGGAACTCATGCCTACTCTTGATCTGACTGTTGTTTTCTACCTATCCTGGATATAAATCCACTTTTTTTTGGCAGAACCAGGGGTTGAACTCAGGCCCTTGAACTTACCAGGCAAGCCTTTATTCTACTGAGCTGTCTCTCCAGCCCCATAAATCCACTATTACAGCTGGGTGCAATGGCACACACCTGAGGTCCTGACACTTGGGAGCAGAGGTAGGAGGACTGCTGCCAGTTCAGGCCAGCCTGGCTACATGGTGAGTTCAAGGCCAGCCTGAGTTATATTGCAAGACCCCATCTCAAACAAACAAACAAACAAACAAAATACATACAGCATTTGTAAATATATGGAAGAAATCTATTTCTCCTACCCTGCAAGTTGCCTTTATAGTGTATTATGGTGACTTTTGAAGAACACACGTCTGAAATTTTCACGAAGTTCAATGTTTCTGTTTGTGCCTACAACATTACATCTAAGAAGTCATTGCCAAATCCAACAGCACACTTCTACCTAAGTTCTCCAGTGTTGAAGTCGCTACTGCGCCTCAGTTTCTAGCACAGGGCGAGGAGACGGCAGATGCGCACAGCCTGGCACAGACGTCGTTTCCCAGCACTCCTGCCCTGAGTCGCGCCTCCCCTCCTCCCAGTCCGCATGGTTATCTGCACACCAGCCTCACGCTGCTTCGACCTGTGGTGAGCTCTGCGCTCCGCGTCTTTCTCACTCACGCACTGAGGCTCCTACAGCAATGTGCTGAATCTGTTGCTGGCTTTGAGGAATACGGACAGCGTAACTACCACATGTGCCACTCCCACGGCACAGGGGTGTCATGTACTCACGGAAGGACACAGGGGTGTCCGCCTCCTCATGTAGCTTTTGATCTCCTTAATTCCTAAGTGTATTATTCTTCTTGTTGCTATTTTAAGTAAAATTGTTCCCTTAATTTCAGATTGTGCAGTGTTTAAAAATACAACTTAATTTTTAGTTGTCTGTGAGCAAACTGAATTTATCAGTTTGAACAAAAGCTTTGGGTGAAGTATTCAGTTTCTTTTATATAAGATCATGTCACTGGATGTGCTGGCACACTTGGGAAGCTGAGACGGGAGGTTCACTTCCAGTTCAAAGCCATCCTGGGCTACAAGCTGAGTTCAAGGCCAGCCTGAACAGTGACCCTATCTCAAAAAATAAATAAATAAATAAATAAGAGCTGGCCTGATAGCTCAGCGGACTAAAGCACCAGCTTAGGCAGAGCACAGTGGCTGGGGTTCAATTCCCAGCTGGCCCTGCCCCTGGGGTGTGCTGAGACAGTGATTGAGATTGGACGTGGTGCTGTGCACCTATAATCCCAGCACTTAGGAGGCTAAAAACAGGAGAATCACTATGAGTCAGGTCTGTGTAGTTAGACCCTGTATCCCCTGTACTAAATGCATTAAAAAATAATATATACATAAATAAATAAAAGATCATGCCATTTGCAAAGAGAGATGCTTTTACTTTGCCTTCCCAATGACGACAGCTTCTGTTTTTTTCTTGCCTAGTTTCCCAGGCTAGAACTTCTAGCCCTGGGCTGAACAGAGGGAGGAGAGCAGATCTCTATGCCTGTTAAAGATCTCGGAGGAAAAGCTTCCAGTTTTCCCACGTGGAATTAGGTGAGCTTTTCCCACTGGCCCTCGTTATGTTGAGGTAGAGGTCTGTGAGTCATCATGCGATGGTGAGCCCATCTAAGGTCACTTCCTATGCTAGTTGACCGTGGTGACTTTTCCACACTGAACCATCCCTGCACCCCAGGAGTAAATCCCACTCGGTTCACAGTGGATAAGTCTGTCAATCTGCCGCTGAATTCAGTCACTAGGATCTTGTTCAGGATTTCTGCATTAATATTTGTAAAGCGTACACTCCTCATACTACTCAGAGTTTTCTTTTCTTGGGGTGTTTTTGCCTGGCTTTGTTATCCAAGTGATTCTGGCCTCACAGGACGAGGTAGAAAATGATACAGGAACCAAGAGAGGGAGGCAGGTGAGAAAACAGGGGTGCATACTTCAATCCAGGCTCCCAGCCTCATGTTTCTGCCGAGAAACCGGCTCGTCAGCGTACTGAGGTGCTCTGTGAGCAAGGAGTCATTCCCTCCGGGCTTTCAAGCCTGTCTCTGGCTCTGAAAGCTTCACTAGCACATGCTTGGTTGCATTTATTGGCGTTCACTGAGCTTGGACGCCTGTATTTGTGCCTTGTGGGAGGCTTTCAGGCACTGCTTCCCCATCCGTGCTCTCTGCCTCCTGGGAGTCCCACATCGATGTGTCCACCTGACGAGTCCCACAGGTCCCTGAGCTGGGTCCACTTCTCGTCAAATGTATTTCTTTGTCTTCCTCACATCTGACCATTTCAGTTGTTCTGCTCTGTAAGCTCATGGATTCCGTCTTCTGCCTGCTCAAATCTGCCTCTGAAGCCCTCTCACAAATTTCAGATTTCAATTACTGTACTTCCCAATCTTTCTTGAGGTTTCCAGGCATCGTGAGACTGCTGTCTCACAACCTGTCAAGCAGGTCTGCTCGCCAGTCTTTCTGGACGTCTCTGCAGCTTCCCTCTGGATGGAGCACGCGCCCCCGTGTCTGTGTGGCTCGTGGCTGTATACTCGGCATCCAAGTCCACTAAGGAGGCTCTTCAGGAAGCCACGTCCCCCCTCCCCAGAGCTCCAGGTCTCCTCATCACTTCAGGGTATGTGTTCCTGGGTCATCATGGCGATCTCTGTGCCAAAGGGCAGCCTGGGGTATAAACGTACATTTCTGTGGATCTCCTCTGGGTGGACACCTCTTTCTGGCCAGGCAGTCACCTCCTAATTTCCCCTTTACATGCAGCTGATCTTCAGTGCCCTATTCTTCGTTGTTATGGTTTGTGTCTAGTTGCGCCCCAAAGCTTCAGGTTAGTTATAGGGCTGGAGGAGCAAGGAGCAGCTTGAAGGGC